CCACATAAAATAAGGCATTCATTCAATTCAATTCACATACATTTTTCCTTCCTCATCCTTACTATGCAGCATCCACTTACTTACTGCTTTTCTCAGGAGGATGGTGCCACACTGGTGGAGATACTTTGAGTGGACATGTGCTAAGTTTCATATTCTAGTAGAGAAGGAACACAGTCACCTTCCTGGACATGTATGCATTACATTTAGGGGTCTGATGAACATAGCAGCTGATGTGCATGGAAGCAAGAAATAATCAATGGTCTGAATAAACGTGCTGACAATTTCACACTGTCAGAAGTCAGGATTACCCTTATAATCCAAATGAGTTTGAAACTGTATCTGGAATGTTTCTCTTCCATTTCTGCTGCCAAATAATCAAGAGCTGGTTTCTGCAAACATTTTTTTATACACTAAATTATATCTCTTGTAGTGAAGTGATTCATTTCAGTTTTGTTGGGTATATTGCAGGACTCTCTTGCACCGAGTAGTGAGAGTGGATTTCTCGCTTCTATAAGGCAGAAAATTGGTGCATTATTTCCAGGTGAGTAGAAGAAAATGGGGTACTTACTATGGTCACTTTTCTCAGTTATATTGTTACACTGCTCTGGCAATCTCTCATGTGACACTCTCCTACCTCTGCATGTTGCCACAACATTGCCAAATTGTATTAATTTGGTACCATTCACTCTTATGAAAAGTTACTTGACTACTCATTGGAGTGTCATTTTGAAATCAAACAGTCTTTGTCTGAGTTCAGAGGAGAGTTTTGATTGAATAAGTAAATGTGTCTGCAAGGAATTATACAAATCGTGATTCTCTTGGAATTAATAGAATTATGATAAGTTTTCTTCATGTGGTCTTTATTCATGATTTTCGAGAATATAATGTTTATTGAATAGTTATCACTCCACAGCATCTAAAACTTAGATTTAAGTACATGGCCCAGTTGGCACTTCAATAGACATATCCAAGTTGGCAATTAGGCTGGGACCTTCATCGTAAGCAATTGATATTAAACGATCTTGAGTGTGTCCTTGTATAATTTCCAAAGGATTTTACACCTAAAAGAAATAAGATTACTTTAAAAGACATTTAAAAATGACATTCCAATTTGATTCAGTATGGAATCAAACCTACAAATGTAGAAATATCAGGTTTGCGATGTTATCACTTAAGCCAGGGTTTCTTTCAGATTTCCAAATCCGAGGAAATACTAAATGTAACATAGCATTTTCGACTACAAGTCTATAAAATCTTAAAACTTTTGTTCATAATAATAACCATAATCATAATTTGATAGCAACAGTTTTATCTTTACTCTTGGTCGCAGACATGGGTCGAAACTAAATGTGGGAATCTGCAGTATTGTAAATGAAGGTTCTCACTGCTCAGTATGCAGTATTTTTGAATTTTCTTAATTTTCTGGACTGCTAACATATTAGACTTTTGGGATGTCTGAAAAACATTTTGGTTTAGCACACATTCAATGAAAATATGTTGAAGATCATTCCAGATGTTTTTGATGTGTATGAGGGTCGGCAGTTAACACTTATATTTGTTCCATTACAGAGAGTCGTGGTAAAAGGGTACAAATTTCTTATTTTCTTGTTCTCCATTTCCCCTAGATTTATTCAATGATAATAAAGATGTTTTTTATCTTTTCTCATCAAATTCTTTCTTTTCACAGGTAAAGGTAACCACAACGAGTCACCAAAAGCACAAGGACCTTATGCAGACTTTGTTTGCATATGCAACGAACGGTTCAGCACAGAGGAAGCAGCCATGGCTCATGCAAACACTCATGACGGGGCAAAACCATTCAGGTGTCTCATATGTAGAGAGCACTTTTCAAACAAGGGTGATGCTTTACTAGACATGAAAAGCCACATTGTTAACAAGTATGTTCGCAAGCATCATTCCAAACAAAATAATTTATATACACATTTGTACATACAGACTGATGGCAAACCTGTTCAGTGCTACATCTGCAATAAGAATTTCTCAAAAAAAGAAGAATTAATAGCACATATGCGCACACACACAGGAGGGAAGCCTTTCCAATGTGATGTATGTACAAAGTTCTTCTGGCAAAAATGTCATTTGTTTGCACATATGCGTATTCATACTGGTGAGAAACCTTTTCAATGTAACATCTGCAACAAGAATTTCAGGCAAAAAGCAAACTTAGTTAAACACATGAACGTTCATTCAGATCGCAAACCACAGCGTGGGAAATATTACCAGTGCAAAGTCTGCAAAAAGAGATTCACCCAATCAGGCTTGAAAGATCACACCTTGACTCACTCTGGAAATTGTTTGCAAGATGAAGTTTCAGAATAGAACAGATGCATATAGTGGACTGCTATTACATTTATGGTTTCAGCATATTGTTGTTGAAGATTATCATACTTAGATATATGAAAGTAACAAACCAAAGGAATCATCCAAAAGCATAAGGTATTTGTGATGATTTAGCGAAAGAAAGCTTGTAGATACATAGTGCCTTCCTAAAATACTGAGAAGTGAGAAAACTGGATCTCAGACTAATGGAAACAGCATTGCAGTGACTTTCTGTCAACTTTTATTGATTGACAGTTATGCCAGCTAAATCAAGTCTTTCTTTGACCTAGTATTCTTATTTACAGACACTGAAAACTTAAGCATACCACTTTGTATGTTAAAATGGTGGAATATAGCCTAACTTCTCAAAATATTGTAAAGCTTGTGTTGTTGACATTTTCAAAATTCAACCTCAGAAGAGATTATTACATTTTAAAGTGATTTTTATCCTCTCAGCTTCTTTTTTAAGTATTTTCATTAATATTATGTGGTAGTAAAAGAAACTTCTAATTAATAACAAAAACTGCCACTTCTAGGTATAGCATGCCACTCTCACTACCAGCTACCTTCAATGCCTGGCGATAAAATTTCTGACTACTGATGAAGCTACTGAAATCCATCATCTGTTTGAAGAAATATACATGAAATGCCTAGAATACAGACTTCATGTTAGGAGAAATACTTGTACTTCATTGTTATTGATATCAAGAACATTACTTCTTATGAAAGTGTTTATGTTGTGACAGTCATGATGACATAAGAGTACTGGTGAAGCCACTGAAATCAGTCATTAACTCCAAGAAGTTTGTAAGGTGAATAGACATGGGATGGGTTGACACTGGATGTTAGGGTGAAGACTTTTTTCATATGTTTTCATCCAGGCATTTTTTAAACAGTAATTATTATTACACGAATTAAAAACACACAAATTGTACAGACAAAACTTCTTGTTTTAACAATTGTTAATTAAAAAACATAACATTCCCATTTAATGTAGTGTAAACCATATTTATTTAAGTTTTATATTAACTTCAAAATTTATTCAAACTCTCTCACTTCTAGGCATTTCTTTTCCTCTTCATCAGGAGTAATTCCATCTAAATATAAAATAAACAAATAACAGTTAAAACATCAATAAACTTTAAGTCAATGTACCTTTATCAAAAATGTAAAATTTTTTAACTTTGTCTTTTAGTCAAACTTACATAGACAAATTTAAATTATAGCTGTATCAAGTTCAAATGAACTTGCCTCAAAATTTATTTTTTTCATTTTTTAAAACTACATTTTTTACTCTATTTCAGAGTAAGTCAAAGAGTTCCTAACAACATTCAAGGAACCTTTTTTTTATATTTCATGGGGTCAAAGACCAGAGTGAGCACAAATATGAAGTAAGAAATAAGTCAGTTGTATGAGGAGCTGGAAAAGGAAATATAGGAGTAGGGAAAAAAAGAAGAATGTGATAATGGCAGAAAGTTAAGATAACTTTGATAACCTTGAATAAAATTGGATAAATTTGAACAAAGAATATTTATTTTCCCAGATCACATAACTGACTCATTTCATATTTCAAATTTGTTCTCACTCTGGTCTCTGATGCCTTAGAATACAAAGAGGGCTTCCTTGAATGATTTTCAAGAACTCTTTGTCATACTCTGAAAAAAACTAAATAAAGTGAAAATATTATGTTTCCATTAACAATTTTTCAAAGACATTTTACATTTGTGTGATGTGTGTCTGTTTTTAATTCTAGTAATAACAATGGACTGTAAAAATGTCTGAACAAAAATCATTGAAATTTCAACTTAATGACAGTCTTATAGATCATCATCATGTACTGACCAGAAATGAGGCTTTGTAGCCTATTTGTATTGTTTTATTGCAGTATTCTTGGTGGATTATTAGTGTACCAAGTGTTCCGGCTGTTGCCACCTATTTAGTGATCTGCCTCTAACTCTGATCCAGGGCCTTTCAACTCCCATATAATGTGGTGGAAACAATTACAGTTGTGCACTCTCCTGCAGCACCTTCTTATAGGAACTAAAATCCAAACTGCTGCCAATGATACTTAAAACATGCGTGGCTGCTGCTTGGATTCGCAAGATGCAAGCATGCTCATAATGTTGCAAAAGATAGTGTTGATGATCCGGGTTCTTCAGAGATTTCTTATACGTGTATATTATGAATAATTGAACATTTTGAAGACACTTTTCGTATTTCTCACAAATTAACCAATTTGTATGGGCGAAGTTGGCGAGCCTAACCTGCAGCTGCACCTGCAGCTGCACTGGTGACACTAGCGCCCCCTATCATAGCACCCTCTAGCTTTGTCCCCAGTTTTGATGAGGATCCTTCTTGGTTTGTACTTGCAGATTAATTCTGTTGTTTAGTTCTTTATCTGTTGTTTATTCTTTGTAAATGATCTTTCCATCTCTTTGAGACTGTCCTCATTCTTCTACAAAACCTGTGGTTTTCAATGTCTCCTTGATGTCTTTATTTCTCAGTCTGTCTATTTTTGTGATTCCCATGATGTGTCTGAGAAATTTCATGCCTTTTTGCTTGTCTGTCTCTTTCATTATCAAATTTCAGAGCCAAAAATTATTCTAGGTTTAGCAGCTGCTTTGTGGAGTTTCAGTTTTGTTTCTGGGTCCTTGTCTCTGCCAAAGTATCTCTTAATTGTTCCACGTATTCTGTTGTAGTTATTAAGTTTGATTTCTGTATCTTCCTGAGTTTAGTTGAATACACTTATATTTCCATTGTATGAAAATTTATTTACTTTTCCGTTTATTACTCTTTTGGCTTTCCTTTGTACCTGGCCTTGTATTGCCATAACTTTTGTTTTCTGAACTGTTCTCTTCATGGAATATTCTTGGGCCACTTCTGTTAATTCTCTTTGTAAATTATCTTCAGAATCCATTATGATTGTTTGGTCATCAGCATACAAGATTGTATCTATCTTTTTATCTTTTGTGATGTGTGCTCACATGATGTGTTGGAGCATGCAAATGCAACATTTGTTTCGTTGTTCCCTCGTCTGGCACGGTGACATTCACAATAGGGTGTTTGGTTAGAGAAATTGAGGTTGGTAATATCAACACTGTTTATTGGTGTGCAAATTGTCATAAAATATCTAGCAAACACATTTACAATAGACATACCATCATGAAGTGATTCAGATAAATAGTGCATACCATTTAGGAGTCCCTTTTCAGATCTTTTACTAATATGATATTTCCAAAAGCTTTTTGGATTGGCTATGAATGAATTGTCCAAATTGAGGCAGTAATCTCTGAAACCTCTTCTCGACAAGAATTTACATTTATTTTTCAGATTTGAAAAGGCCTGGTAAAACTAAATTTGAATTTTTTATTTTATATTTTATATGAGCTTCAATATTTAAAATAATTGATGTTTTCAATTCATTGCTATGAAATTTTTTATTTAACTAATTTACTTATCGGAACAAAAGCATCAATGCAAGAATAAAGGAAGTACTACTTAATTATCTATCTTCTTACTTTCACTGATGTTTCTTCCTTCTTTAATCGTATCTGATCTTTCATCTTCACAAACTCAAGCCAGTCTGATAGATAATATAATAAAAACCTATTCTTTATTGTTTGCAATATCAAGGAAATTATTTAATAAGTTCACATGAAAGTGTATGTTCAGCAATAATATTTTTCTACTTAATTAGTAACCTTCAGCTGCAAAAATTGCTCCTGAACAAAACAACTCAAATTGGTTGTCCAAAAAGTAGCATGCATACTGCTAAAGAATAACAAATAAAATATTCTCATAACACTGCAACAATTAAATATTTTAACAAAAAGTGTCTTCAGGAATATAGCAACAACAGGGCAGTACATAAATAGTACAAGAGTTCTTTATATTTACTCTGTCAAAAAAGTTACTTATTTAGTAATACATGTGAATAGCAAATCTTTAATGGCAGACATCTTATTCATTGAAACCTTGGTGTCGCAGGATAACAGTTGAGCTGTGAGCAGTGGCATGCTAGGTATGAGAATTCAGTCAATATGTGCAGTATGGCAGTAGATCGAATAACACAATCAAATATTTGCATTTTTCAGTCAAAATCAAAACTGTTTTATTGCTTTTGTATTTATCAAAGTTTCTGTGTATTTAACAAAACGAGAGGTGCCTCTCACATGACTGGAGGCAGCCTAGTGTTCTTTAAATTTCTATTTGCATTGGAATTTAGTATTATAGACACCTTTAAATTCATATTTAACTGATTAGCTTTGTTAACTTCCTAATCAGCCAATGCTTTGACTTCCTTTGTCTCTCTATTACGTGTGTAGCTCAAACAGGGCCGTCAAACTGAGCAAACTTCCTCTGAGCGGTTACATCATTACAGATTGACACTTGTGCTCTGCAGGGCATGATAAGACTACTGTGAATGGAAGTAAGCACTGCAATTTCACAGAGCTGCAGTCTGTAGTGCTGGAGTGAAGCAATAAGTCATACATTTCAGTGAGCCCTTAGGTTTCTTGAGCAGGGAGGGTGGAGGGGATGTGCTTTGTTTCTTATGCAGGAAATGTTTAGTAACAAAAAAGAGTAGATACGTAGAATACTAAGTGCACTTTTTACGTATCCTATAATTTTATTAGTTGTATCTCTGCAGTTCCCTTCTGCTGGATGCTGTTTGTCTCGCAGAGGTTGTCACAGACAGATTTGAGTTAAAAGTAGCAATTCTTGTGTTGACTACATAAGAAAATTTTATTGAGATTATTCTCTTTCATTCATTCACTGCAGAAAATCTAAGTGTAATTTATGCATACTTACTATTAATGATTTTTTTAAAAGTATTTTTAAGGAGGTTTAGTATTTCTATTTTTTAGAAAGCGTTTGTGACTGAAGTTTAGTGTAAATGTATTTTATAAGAAAGCAGTGTGTTGCTAGGCTTTCAGGTCAAGAAGATAAATATCCATGATGATGATGAAGTTTGGTAGGTCGTATATTAATTGATTATATTAATGAGACCTGATGATACAGAGAATAAAATCATGGAATTCTGATGATGGAGAGGATGATCCTCATTCTTGCATTAGATCAAAAACATTTTTTCCACTTATGTCAATGGAATACATAATATTTTATGAAAATGATTAAGGTGATTGCATTCTTGAATTGTTCATTCAGTAAATAAATATTTAAAATGACAATTTATTTAAAAATCTAGATAAAAAGTTCCATTGTATATTCTTTTATGTATACGTGACGTTTATGTAGAATTAGTATTTAGTAAGTGTAAAAAAAAACAATATTCTAGGATTAAAAATTCCTGTTGCATTAATTGTAATTATTTTTAATATTTGTTTTAAACATTCAAACTATGTACAAATTTTGCTTAGATTTTCGTAACTTTTTTTATGATAAACTGCATGTTTAATAATTAATAGTAATACATTTTCAGTTTAAATGCAAATTTGCATTAAAATGCTTGCTTAATTTAATGAATGTGTTGCAAATTTCATTGTGTTTGCTTGTTTCAAATTTCCAAATTTTCATGAAGTGAGTTCACCTCTTCTTTCTGTGAAATCTTTTCATCAAATCTCAGCGCACGCTGTGTCCCTGAAACTGCACTCAAGGTTGTTTGCATGCTTATCAGTCTGACGGCCCTGCTCTAGGTGAAAATTATATTTGGTAAGAAAATTGCACAATGACAAAATTATTATGAAACAGCACTTGAAGCATCTCATTCTTGTATTTTCCAGTTAGGCCCCTTTATCTGTGAGAGGAATTTAAAGCAACCTTATTGGAGTGTTTTGAAGAATTCACTCAGAGTTGATAATGACAATGTTAAAATGAACCGACTAGTTATGTGCTGAATAGAAGAATGTGCGAGTTTTCTGCAGATTTTTTAGACTTTACTTCTGTTAAAAATCTTGGTGTGAGTCATAGGAGACAAAACAATATTACACTGTTTGAAACCCAGTTTTAGTAAATTAAGTATTTTCCAATAAAATCTGTTTGCACATTGATATTATTTTCAATTTTTTGAAAGCTCGTCAATAAAATGGAACAAAAACTCAAGAATATGAAGAAAGGTTTGTGTAATATGTAATTAATATCTATTTCTTAATGACTGCTCATGCCCTAATCTGTGAGCACTTGTATACAGTTATAATTATATTCACTGTGATAATTTTAAGATTTGTTTAATTTTATTGTCAAGTTTGTAAAACATGTTATATTCAAACACATTTCATCCTCTGAAAGCCTGTGTTGCTGTAATGTGTTGATATTTGTTCAGTAATCCTAGATATTAAATTTTTAAGAGTGATTAATTTTGATTATTAATTTTTAAACTTAATTTGATTTTAGCCTGTCTAATTTGGAGTTTTCAGTGTCTAACATCTGGTCTATAGTCATGAGTGATGTTGTAAAACATTAGGGTGAATATAAACTAAGAGAGTGATAAAAAAAGAACATATTTGTCAACTATCATCAGTGAAGAACTGAGTTTGTGACAATAGATCTGAAGAAAATTGCCAGTTCGCCAAATCAAGAACTTCCTCTTCTGATGTAATTTTCTTGCAGTAATTTGAAGTGGTCTGGAGGTTGAGGTGAATGCTGTTATAAAGAGAACATTATATTTTTATAAGTATTTTTTAAAATTGTAAAGGAAAATAATAAAACTCTTAAGAGAGTTGCACCTTCCTGCCAACAAGGATGTGGGAGAATGAATCCCCAACACCAGAATCAAAAAGGAGCTACGGTTTCTTATTGGAGCATAGAAAAACTTCTACTAACAATATCGTTTGTGGGTTGCAATAGTGGCACAACTCAATGCTGTGTTGGCTGCGATAGTGGCACAAATTTTGAGTTAACGCACTCTTCAGAATTGCAGATTGGTCTACCAGCAGCAACAGAAGCATATCTTGCAGTACCATATCCCACCAACAAATGGCAGAAGTGTGAATGCAAGAATGATGCATTTCAATACAAAGTGAAAACCTCAAACTCATTATCTCAATACCTGATTATTTGAATTGTACCACAGTTGCAGCCCATGAACAATATGTTGATGAGTTCAAAGACTTTCAAGGCAATGTTGTGTGAAACTGCTGAACGAGAGAACAAGAAGTAAACTTCACAAATTTGGTGATTTACCTGTAGTATGATCTTCTACCACATTGCATAAAGAAACTAAATGTATAATCTTTCAAAAAGGATATAGAGGATTATGTTTACTGCTGTTGTTCTATGTGATATATTTTATCTGAAATTAAAGTTTATTTAAAAGATTCATCAAGTGAAGTATTATATAATGCATGGATTTTACTGTTGTAATGTGGCATGGTGTAAACTTTCAGTACACCATGTATCACTCATGAACTCAAAATCTTTCTAATTTCCATTCCTATCCCGGTAATTAGTGTGTGAAAATAGTTGGTTGAGGATGATGTGAGCGGCTTCCCAATGCGATTGCGATCGGTGACGTCTGAATTAAACTGCGATTTATCTATTCTGTGATTCTGCTTTGCAGCGCAGTTCCGTGTGGCCGGGGAGTGCAATGCCGCCACACTTTCCTGCTATGAAGCCATTCCTATCAACCTATTTATTTATGTGAAAACCAGTTAAAAAGTGTGTGTGACCTGCTATGGGGTGAAGTTAATTTGAAGTTACATATTTGCCCAGAAGCAAAACAAGGGGCCATCTCAGCATTTGCTCGAGGATCAAGGAAACTGGATGAAAACCTGATCGAGATGGGGGTCATTGACCCAGATGCTGAAGTACAATACTTGCCAGGTTCTTTACAATTATACAATCCAAATGATATATAATATATTAAATGTCATTGTTAAAATTAATATTACGTTCCTTTTGGATGCTCGGTATAGTATCTAATTGTATAGAAACAGTTGTGAAATAAAGAAACATAAAAAAATAAAAAGAAACAATATATGAAAAATCCAGTAGAACCAATGCAGACATTTTCTTTGCATCAAAAGACTGCATCAAATAAATCCATTACTGCTGTTGTAGTATTAATCGCGCAACGTTTCTTGTACGATGACCTTGCTTGCTCCTCTGACACAAGAAACAGTCGAAGGCAAAAGCTCTTAGCGAGCACTGACGACAATATTCCGAACATTTTCACTGGCGCGAAATACAAACTATTCTCTAAGGAGAACATCTATCCATTATTTTCTCCAAAAATCTAAAGAAATGACCGATGCTGGTAAAGATATATCACAAGAGATACCTTGAACTCCTAAGAAAGTTAGAACGCAAATTATTGAGAAAGTTACGAAGCCATGACGGATTCTCCAGACTGAAATTGCTTCATAAAATCTAGTGGACGATTTCGTAACTAATATCCCCACTCTACCCGCATTTCTTCAATCCATCGTTCAAGAAAAGTTGCGCGAGTAATACTATGACCCTTTCGAAAATCAGATTCGTAGTTAGGTAACAGTTTATTTGCATCAAGAAATGCTCTTAGTTGCATGTCACATATTATTTCCGTGGCCTTAGAGGGAAATGGGAGCAGGCTAATGGGTCACAAATCTGAGAGTATTAGCAATTATTGGGAAGCAATGAAGTTGTGAGAAAATTAAACTTCTTCGCACAAATCAGGATTTTTGCATGACAACATTATTCTGGAAAAGAAAACGATTTGTGATTAGCAAGTGAATACGCAATACATTGAATATTGCTGCATCAGTAAATTGTTGAATTTGAAGTATTCTGGAAGATACATTCCTACTTACAGTCACATAAAACTGGTCTAAATAAATCTGAACACAAATTTAGACTGTCAGAAGTAAGGATTCCTGTAAAATCCAACTGGGTTTTAACCTGCATCAGGAATATTTTTCTTCCATTTATCCTCCCAACTAATCAACGGCTGATTTCTGCACGTTTTGTTGTCCATTTTGTTGTTCTGTTGTAATGAATGGATTGATTTCAGTCTTGTTTGATGTATTGCAGGATTCTCTTGCACCAGGCAGTGAGAGTGGATTTCTCATTTCTGTAAGGCCGAAAATTGGCGCATTATTTTCAGGTGAGGAGAAGAAAATGTGAAAAATTACTCTGGTCACTTTACTTGGTGAGGTTTTCCAAGTTGTTGGCAGACCAAAATGAAATTTATTGAACCCTTATGTTAAGAATTTTTTTTGTGGTGGGTTAGTTCAGAGATCTTATATTTCCTAAACTTTGCATTTTACCAAATCTCCAACATCATACACTATGTGATCAAAAGTATCCGGACACGTGGCTGAAAATAACTTACCAGTTTGTGGCACTCACTATCGGTATTGCTAGAATTCAATAGACTGTTGGCCCGCCCGTAGCCTTGATAACTGCTTCCACTCTCGCAGGCATACACTCAATCAGTTGCTGGAAGGTTTCTCTGAGAATGGCAGCCCGTCCTTCACAGAGAGCTGCACCAAGGAGAGGTATCGATGTAGGTCAGTGAGGCCTATCACGAAGTCGGTGTTTCAAAACATCTCAA